ACATATCCAAAGTACGCGGACAAAGCCTCTCCACCCTTGCCTCTGAGGAGTATTCTGGCTGGACTTATTCCAAGACAGGTTTGTTTGTTCTTCTGGCATCGATTTTTCTTTGGGCTTCCTTAGTCACTGTCCAACTTTCACATGCATCTGAGGTCACTGAAATTACCATGGCTTGGGTCAGGCCCACCACAGTCCTCAAAGTAACCTCCTTGCTTTTCAACACTCTACAGAGGTCCTGTGCACCAGAGTTAGCCAATGTAAAGTGTTGTTTGATTTCTTGACTGCTGTTTCCATGAGCTTTGATTGTGGTAAGCCAAATACTATCCTAGAAACCAGCAAGAGCAATGGAAATTGATATTTTAAAATGGGGGAGGGAGAGGGGTAGATAGAAAATAGACCAGATAAAGAAGTATAGTATTAGAGTGTCAGATGCTGAGCAGTCTAGGAGAGGGGCCAGGAGAGTGAGAGGGGGTGTCAGTTCTCAAACCAGAATGAATGGGACACTCTCGATTGGATCGTACTTTGTACACTGGACATGGAACAAGAAAACCACCAGCCATAAAACCCATCATGAAGGAAAAAGAACACAAAGGTAGAAGTCTATCAAAGGGGAAGGAGAGAATGCCCAATGATTCCGTGATTAATACACACTGGCTGGCTGATTTATAAATGAATCTAATCATTACAAGGGCCTCAGCAACATAAAAGACCGCAACAGAACAGAAATTCTTTAACTATTTGAAACAAACTTTTATGAAAAAAGAAGAAGAAGAAGTAAAGGTGGTGTGGGTACATGCTAGACAGGGGAAATGACATAATCCTTAAAAACCAGCTGTCCTCAAACCGACTCTGAATCATGGCAATCCCATGAGTGTCAGGGTAGAACTGTGCTCTAAAGGCTGATCTTTTTTCAGAAGTGCATCACAGAGACCTTTCTTGTGAGGCGTCTGTTGATGGACTCGAACTTCTGACCTTTTAGAGAGCAGCTGTTTATTTGTACCACCCAGGCTCTCATTTATCTTCCTTTCATGGCCAGCCAGTCAATGCCAACTCTTACCATGTCTACAGGGCAGGGTAGAATTGCCCCCGTGAGTTTCTGAGACTGTAACTCCTTGCCAAAGTAGAAAGCACTGTTTTTCTCCTGAGTAAAGGCTGGTGGTTTCGAACTGCTAACCTTTTGGATTGCAGCCCAACTTGTCACTACTACACCACCAGGGCTCCTTTTTTATCTTCCTGGAGAGAGTAAACGTTTCTACTCTAAAACTGTCACTGAAGCAGAATGAAGTTCTAGAACCATGCTGAAAGAGAACTGTCTGCCAAGAAAAACATTCTAACTACACTCAGCACCTGAAAGGTTGGTTGCTAATGAGACTGAATAATTGAGTTTTTAAAATTGATTTCATTTTGATTCAGGTAAAATTTAAGGGTAAGTAGTCAAATGCTGAGAGTGGCTACCCAAATGCAGCTTTGCAGTGGGACTGTTCCTTTAGTAGAAACCGGTTAGGCTATACTTGATGCCCTTCATAGAATGCACGGCTACTGTGCATCACGCAGGTCAGACAATCACTCCCATTGACCCGCGGTGCCATTGAAGGTGGTCAGTAGCATCAGCCCCGCTTCCTGACTGAGAAGGCCAAGGCTCATCTACATTGCCTGGCAGACCTTAGACCTTGTATCTTACAAAGGTCCGAGTAGGAAGTTTGGCTTCAGGTCTGACTCCAAGGCCCAAACATTTTCTGCCACGGCATCCCATCCATAGCATCTTTCTCTCTTATGTTTTCTTCCACTTCCACCTTTTCCACCAGTCTTAAAATATACAAGTAAGTGCATGCAAGTATGTCTGGTTAGATTTTTGAGGGTAAACTGAGGGACAACGTGTTTGGTGTGGATGCAGTGTTCTACAAAGTCAGCATCCTTCAGTCAACTGGCCTCCTGTTATCATAAAAAGTGGAACATCAAGAACAGTGGGGGAGTAAATAGGATACACGCATGCTTACTTATTGAAAATTTTACTAAGACAGAAGTGGCATATTAACTAAAGCTTTCTTCCTTGGGCACACTCAGCAAATTTCAGTATGATCATTATCCTGGTCCTTTGGGACCCCTAAATCCATCAGCAAAGTGACAGAGCAACCCACAGACGAAAGGCCATTGTGTCCGATGAGGCTGGGCAGGAGGGAAAGAGGGGAAAATGAGCAATAAGTACCTCTTTCACAGGTTGTCGAGAGGGCGTTGCTAGCTTGCTGCAGATTCTTGGTTGCTCAGCTGTCCCCTTAACCTGCAAACTGCTCCTCACAATAGAGGAGGTCAATTGAATGGTTTGTAGGACAATAGGTTCAGCAACTGCTAAAATCCAGAGGATGCTATAGGCCCATAGCATGGCCTTCTCAGGATTAAACTACAGCCAGCTTAGTGAAAAGGGTTGGCGGAGTGGTTACATGATAAGAAACTGTGTAATGAAGATCCCTACAGTGGGCTAGCATTCCTTCTGATATAATTAATTTCATATCTTTTTTAAATGTCGCTATACTTGGACATTTATTTGATGAGAGCAATAAAGCACTTTAGTGTTGGATTGATCGGCTTAACCTACTGGAAGGTTAGCTGGGACTCTCATTGGTATGGCAAATCTATCCTGCAAGGTATTTCTGGAGAAAGCCGAAAAGAAACATGCTTCATGGGCACAGCACAGAGAGGTTTTGAGGTTTGTGTGAATCCCCCCCAAATACCTCTAAAAAGAGTTCATCCTATTAGAATTACTGGTGTCCTGGGAAGCCTTCTTGGAAAATGGACTGCTGGACACAGCATTCACACACGTCCATGCAGACCGATTGGTATCCCATTCTCACACAACAATACTATGCGGGCACTTGAACATAAGCCCTGGTGATGTAGTGGTTATGAGTTGAGCTGCAAACCACTAGGTCAACAGTTCTAAACCACGAGTAGCTTCGCAGGAGAAAGACAGGCTTTCTACTCCCATATAGAGTCCCAGTCTCAGAAATCCACAGGCAGTTCTACCCTGTCCTGTAGGGTCACTATGAGTCCCAATCCATTAGATGGTATGAGTGAGTAGTCATAAACTGAGGAAGCCTGGTGGCATCGGGGTTACAAGTTGGGCTGCTAACCACAAGGTCAGCTGTTAGAAACCACCGACAGCTCCCTGGTAGAAAGATGAGGCTCCCTACTGTGGTACGGAGTCTCAGAAACCCACAGGGGCAGTTCTGCTCTGTCCTATCGGGTTACTATGAGTGGGAATTGAGCTATGTGGTGAATCATGCACATACCCAAACCAGGGCATCGCATCAATCCCGATTTATAGCAGCTCTGTAGAACAAGAGGGAGGTGCCCCTATGGGTCCCCAGACTGAAACTCTTCCCAGGAGTAGGAAGCCCCCATCTTTCCCGTGTGGAGCTGGTTGGCGGTCTCAAACTGCTGAACTTGAAGTTAGCCCAGTGTGTAAGCACTTTGCCACCAGCGCTCCTAGGCACCTAATCATACTAACGAATTAATCATGTTGGAGAATTTTGTGTTGGGGCTGCAATAAGCATTGAATTTATAACCGTAAAAACAACCAATGCACTGTTTGTTCTTCTCTCAGAGGCATGTCAGCGTTAGGGTGTGCTGTATCTTTAACTTCCAAGCCCTCCGCTAACAATGTGTGCTCCTGGACAATTATCAGGACAAATTCCTGACTCGCTCCCTTTCTGACTGCCTCCTGAGTTCCCACGTCGATGTTGTTCCTATTGGTAAATTACTTTGGGAACGGAAAAAGACTACAAACTACAAATGTGCACAGAGAAAACGTCAGAATTCTGTATGGAGTTAGCCTTTGGAAGTGCGTTGTTATTAGACGTTTCCCGCGTGGAGCAAGCTTTACTTTGCGAATTTCTAGGACAGCTTTGCCCGGACGCCCCAGCGGGACGCGACCCCCACGCGCTCTTACCGCCCAGGCCGAGTCCCGGCCACAAGGAGACGCGCAAAGAGTGCCCACAGCGCCCCCATCGGCGCTGCGCGGGTGGTGGCCCGAGGGGCGCGCCCTGGGGCGCAGCCCGGGAACGCGGTGCCAGCGGGGGCCCGCGCGCAGGCCTCGCGGTCGCGGTCGGGAGCCTGCGCCGCCGGAACCTCTGCGTCAGCCCGCGGGCTCGGACACTAGACTGCCGCCCGGAGAGAAGGACCCCTCGAAGCCATCCTGGGCTCCGCGGGCTCCGAGCCGCAGGAGCCGTCCAGTGTGCCAAGTTCCTTCTTGCGCTCCCAGCACTGGTTCCCTAACTCCCCCTTCCCGGGCCTGGATCGAAGCCCGCCAAGCCCCGAGCGACTCGGAAGCCAGGGGTGCCGGGCCTGTGCCGCCCAGAGGGAAAGTTTGCGCGGAGGACGCCGGACTTCCCAGCACCCGGCCAGCGGGCCGGTCCCAGGCTGCCAGCGCTCAGAACCCGCCAGTGTTGCTGGGGAACCCCACCGGTCGCCGCGGGGACCGGGACGCGCATCTGGAAAGGGTGCTTACGTCTGGGGCCGGCCGCGCTGCGGTGCCATCCCTCCCGCGGCGGGGCGGCGGGGCCGCGGGCGCAGAGAGGAAGCCGCGGGTCCCCGGGAGCTGCGTCCCGAGACTCCACCTGCTCCCTCCCCGCGCGCCAGCGCCAGGCATCCACCTGGAGCGCAGGGAGCGGAGCGAAGGAGGGCCTCCGCGGGAGAGCTGACAGTGTCCCCCGCAGGGCAAGTGGGGTCTCCGGGCCCATGCGACTCGAGCGCTGAAAGAAACGCTGCCCATGCCCCCGGGAGGGTCGCTGACGCTGGGCAGCCCGGGTGAGGGACAGTGCGCCCCGGGACTGGCTGCAGGGCGCCGCGCTCGGCGCTGGGCAAGCCTGCGCTCTCCGACGGCCAGGGAAGCCTGCGCACCTGAGCGGAGAAGGAGGCTGAGCCGGAGGGGTTGACCCTGAATTTGTCTGCACTAAGACGCCTTCAGACCTCTTTGCCCGCGGAGGGCAAACCCTGGATCTTACCGGCTCTGGAGCCCCGGAGGGGGGGTGGTGGCGCTCTTCCGGAGCGAGCTCCGGGGACTGCTTTGTGGAGAACATGCCTTGCTGTTCCTCAGGCCACTCAGGTCTGGGTCACCTCTCTCTCCTCGCCTTGCCCCTGGCTGCGGCAATACGGATGCACTGCTTCCCACTCCGTCAAGAAGCAAGTTGAACTTCAAGGGGCAGCGGCCCCACATTTTGTCTACTCGACAGATCCCACCCGCGGACCACCCCACCCCTCTGCACACCCTCCCCTTCGGCTACGGGTCCCACCCATCGTAACAGACCTTCCATATCGCTACCTCTTCACACTCCAGGCAATGACTCTCCAAGGACAGATAGAAAGCCAGCGCACTTCCGGCCTCCCCCTAAACGTACACTTGGATACTGAGGCGCGAACTGGATGGGACCTGCACAGAGGCTGCGGGGAGACGGAGTGGCTGGGAGCCAAGGAGTTACTTTTAGCCTCTCCTTGGTTCAGCTTATCACAACCAGGATCAGACCGGTTTCTTTTAGCGCCAGTGGAGATCAAAATGACTGCAGGTTCTGGCACTTACAGGACCCGTTTGTTGTAAAGTAAAAAACACTATGTAACTGTAACAGTTAAAGGGTGAGCATTATTGGTCTTAGGCAAATGGAAATGTGCTTTCTGCTTTATGTTTAGCGAAGAAGCTGCTTCGTGTGTGTGTGTGTGTGTGTGTGTGTGTAAACATGCTGGGATCTTTGCCCATTCTGGAAGGACCACGGGGAGAACCTGGAGGCGTCTTCCATCCATCCATCTGCAAGTTGAGCGTGAGGGGGACAAATCTCTGCCCTGTCATCCACTAACAGCCCTCTACCTAAGGCAGTGTCGACCAGAGGCCACTGGAGATACACCTACAAGCCCACGACATTTGTTCCCAAAATGTATATAATAGAGGCTTTTTCTTAGATAGGACTATTCATCATCCAACTTCAATCAAAATCCTAATGGAACTTTCCATAATTACTCGAGGCAATCAAACGCACCTCCAGGATTCTGGAGGAAGCCACACATAGTCAAACACATTGTCATTCCACGAATATCACTGCTGGGTAGGGAAAGGGGAAATGGTACCCCTTTCTAAAAACAGAAGGAAAACCAGTGTTTAAAGTTGTTTCTGAAAGGAGATGTGTGGCTGAAAGACTGTTATTTAACATTGGATTTCTCAAAACTCAATTAATTCACTACCATCAATTCATAGTGAGCCTATTGGACCAGGTCCAACTGTTCCTGTGGGTTTCTGAGGCGGTAACTGTGGAGGGCATAGGAAACCCAGTCTTTCCCAGCAGGAGCTACAGGTGTTTCCATCTGCCTACCATGCTGCCAGCAGCCCAATTTGTCGACTACATCACCAGGGTTTCCTCTAGCGCTTTATAGGAGTTGAAAACCTGAGGTTTTCCCCTTAGATCAGCTGGTGGCTTTGAACTGCTCACCTTGTGATTGGCAGCCCAATTCATAACACTGCCAAAGCCCAAACCTCCAAACCAATGTTGTTTCCTCACCCCTTCAACCGTACACAGGGTTTCCAAGACTGACAATCTTTAAGAGAGCAGATAGCTGCATCTTCCTCCCAAGACCTGGGGTTTGTAAGCCAATGCTTACCTGACTTACACAACCAGGGCAACTTGCACAACCAAGCCCAGTATCTTAAAAGTCAATGGAAAGTTAAGCTCTTAGTATGTAGCAGTTTTTATGCTAAGCCCTTTGCTTGCATTGATGCTACCAACTATGTAGTAAGGTGGGCACGATCATCATCATCGTTATTCTCGAGATGCCACAAGTCTGAGGGTACACAGCCAAGGAACGCCTGAGTTTCTGGAAGGATTTCTTGAAGGCAGTGTTTTCACAGGGCTGTGCTTGCTGCATAAAGATACTGCCTCATCACACATCACCAGGGCAGGTACACTTGCCCCATCATGAAGAACACAGGTTGCTCTGCCAGCTCTGCCTTGAGCAACTCACATTGACTTTCAGACCATGGTTCATCAAGTCTCTAAAATGGGTTAGATTCCACTACTAAGATTTCTTCTATGGGCATTCTGCAGCCAAGTCAAGGCTCTCTCAGGGCCTTTTTCTATCACTTTCTGCCCTCTGGTGGAGGTGTTTCATGAGCTATGAAAATTTAAGTCACTAAATCAACCGGCTTGAGAGAATCAGAGTGTATTATCTCCCTCACCACTCTACTCTGCTCCCTTGAAAAATACAGCAAGTTGCCCTGATGGTATAAACTATGTCATCCTTAAAGCTTCTCCTGGCAAGAAAATCCAACCAGTTCTACCTAGTTGCTGATGCACCAGAGGAAAATACCTGAGTTATTTCTTGGTGTGCCCTTTCACAGACTCCACACTACCACATACCAGAGTAACAGTATGTAAAAATGAGGCTAGGCATCTTTATCCTCCTTCTAACAAACATTTATTATATAAGGAGCCATAAAAATATTATAATCTCACAATATATTCAAATTAATCTGAATAAGGAGAGGACTCTTCGTGTTCTTCAACACCTTGGAGCAACATTTGGATTATTCCACTTAAAATAAAACATCAAATAAACGGCAAACATCACCTAAACTCACTGCTGAGCCCATTGCGAGCCTCTAGGGCAGGGTAGAGAACTGCCCAAGCCTGTGCTGGCCCAGACTCTAACTCTTCATGGGAGCAGAAAATGCCTGCTTTCTCCCTCAGAGGCTGTGGTTTCAAACTGTTGGTCTTATCATCAGCAGCTCCATGTGCAAACACTATGCCACCAGGGCTCCAACCATGACCTAGTTTTGCGAAATACCTTCATTTTTCAAAAAGAAGCATTGGCTGGCCTTTTGAATTTTTTATTGTCTAGCATTTGAAGCAGAGAGCCAACTAGTTCGTTTGAAAAACCAAACACACTACAAATGAAGAGCTCTCTGGGAAAATTGACTTAAAGGTAGCACATATGCTTCTAGAAAGGTGGAAAGTGTGGTCTTACAGATTAAATGTTGGTCATACATAACTTTACATATTGCATATTACAAATTTAGTATGCCGAATGAAGGCAATTTGAAAGCACAAAAACTGATCTGAGCAACTGCCAGTCTCCCAGAATAATGGGCACACAATGACTGAAATAGACCACTTTGATTTGGAGGCTTTGGTTGGTGGTCCAGGGATAAAATTCCATGTAGAGTCCCAAGACCACTTACTGCTAATAGGAGGGCGTACCTCCCCACCTCCCTCCCAAAAAAAAACCCCAGAAAAGCATCCACAACTCAATCTTGAGTTAGTGCACCTAGTGGTGTTGCCCGGGAAGGTTCTCTCTGGTCAGTGAATTTTTTTGGTAAAAGCAGTTTTGCTCAAACCTAATTTTTTGTGATGGCTGATTTAAGAGAACAATGTGGCTGTGAAATTTTGTCACCTACTTGGAAAAAATGCTGCAAAACCGTTATGATGTTGAACACAGCTTACAGGACAGTACCATGGGAAAAACTCAAGTGAAATGTCAATTGATGACAAACCTTGTTCTGGATGTCCGTCAACTTCCTGGATGAAAATGTTGACTTGTGGTAGGTACATTTGGAGTTCGTTCCACCAAGTCAGGCTGTTAATCAAGCTTTCTTTTCAGAGGTTCTGAAGATAGAATAACTGTGTGTGACAAAAAGGCCTGATTTGTGGCAGACAGGGGACTGGTTTTGCCCTAACAATGCACCTGCTCATACAGCCATTGTAGTGCGCCAGCTTATGGCAAAAAACAGCATGTTTCTCTTGTTTTTGCCAAAGCCTGGCGGACTGAGATGGCTGCCAAAAACTGACACACCTGACCTTGCTCTATGCAACTTTTTTTTGTTTCACAAATGAAGAGGGACAGGAAAGGACAGTGATTTGACAACATGGAAGAGGTGAAGAAAACAAGGGAGGTGCTGTCAGTGATCCAAACAGATATGTTTGAAAAAATACTTCCAAAGGAATAGCAGAATTGACAAATGTCTTAAGTGGAACGGAGAGTACTTTGTAGGTGCTAAGGTTGTTTTGTAAAAAAATTTAAATACATATGCTTTGAAAAAAATCCTGTTTTGTGGGGTGGGGTGGGGTGGGGGAGGGGGTGGGTACCCTTTCTTAAGATGAAGTCTTGCCATTCTAGCCTCTAGCACTCTGGCCACACTCCTTCCAAGGCAGACAGGTTTGTCCTTTTAGCAGTCCATGGTGCTTTCGATATCCCTCTCCGCACCGCACCACGACGCAATCTTTCTTATTCTGTGTCCAACTTTCACATGCAGAAAGCAACGGAAAATGCCATGGCTTGGGTCCACACACTAGGTGCTCAATAAAAACAATTGGCTATATAATTTTAGGCTATAAACTCTTTCGATTTATTTTTAATTGTGGCTTGGGTGAAAAAGTTTACAAACAACTTTCTCCTTCCACAATTTATACACCCTGTGTTTTCTGACCTTAATGTATCTATCTCCTCAATAATAAAGCACTCTTTCTGCTTCCCCAGTTCCACCAATCCTTCTGACCTTTTGTTTTTGGACAAATGTTGCCCTTTTGTTCTCCTCTGGTTAATTGTTCTCTGAGGAGTTTCTGAAGGTATTACAGGTGATCCCAGACATGAGGGTCAGCAGTTAAGCAAAAATGATATCCTTGTTTGTTGTACATCTTTCTGGGACATTAATCCCTTGCTCTCATAAACCTTAGGAGTCATTTTCCTGTGACTGATGTCCCAGAAAGATGTACAGCAAACGAGGGCATCATGTTTGCTCAATTGACCCAGATTCTGAAATACACGGCAATGGCTTTCCAAGAAGAAACTTGGTTACTCATCTTCCTCAAGACTCAATTTAGCAAGAGCACAATAAGGCTCTGGCTTGCATGTCAAATATCTGCTTTGGAGCTTAATACAATTAGGAAAAGTAAAGACATCTAAAATCAAAACAAAAAGCCCATTGAAAAAAGAAGTGACCCTCATGAGTTTGGACACCAGTTAATACTAGACTAACGTACATGACATTAAAACAGAAGTTAAATCCAACGATATTTAGAAATCCTTTGTACTTCTGTTTAAAAACATTCTTCTACCACTTCCGACTATCTATCAATGACTATGGTTCTGTATCAGCTCTTAGCTTCCTTCACTTATATTCAAAAGCCTAACCTAAAATTTAAGGCTCTGGAATACATCAAATACTAATAGTGTAGATTACAAATGTGTTATGAAAGAATGTAATAAAATTTGACAGAAACCTATTTAAAATTAAAGTGAATTTGAATTCAAACTTATTTGGTTACTGATATTTTTTGTCAGTTGCTCTTTGGGAGAGTACGTCCAGCTGAACTCTGCTTACCTCACAGGATGGTGGTAGGGAGGAGAAATAAAATAACAGTCACAATATCTGTGTTCAGAACATCTTGCTCATAAATATCAGTTAACTTTTATTATTATTTTGAAAAGACATAAGTTGTACAAAACATTCCAACTTCAGTTCAAAACTTCTTACACAAGAAGTAGCCACATGAGGAATCCAGTCTAGCATTTATTAAAAACAATTATATTTTCCTCTAAGGAACATGTTAAATGAAAATTTGTATCAACAACTGATAAAAATCCTCAGCAGTAACTTCTGGAATCTAATTGTTTTACAGTTTATGAGGTCTTTTAAAAGAATCACTTGTTTAAAAAAGTACAAAGTTACATGATCAAGAAAAGCACCCTTTAATAAGTACATAAAACAGTGAGAAATATTCCTCTTTCTGTATGTATGGCTCAGTTTCGTTTTAATTTTACCTAAGGGGGGAAAAATTAAAGGTCTCTTGGAAATATTAAATAAAACAAACTTTGTTCATGTAATTCGACCACTAGCTAATCATTCTTTAAGTTGAAGTCATGCTTGTTACAGCAACCACTGTTATTCTGTCCTCTCCAGGACGCTAATGAAGACAGTGCTTAACACTCTGCCCTTCTACCAGCAGCTGAAAGAATACAGGCTGAATGCGAACTGTCATGTTTTATAATATATACTTCATAACATTCTAAACTGAACAAGCCAGCTAATCTAATCTGAGGTACAGTACAAGTCCAACTCATTTTAATCTGCACCATGAGCAATGTACCATGCAACTACTACAACCACAACTCCACACAGTGGAAGGAGATAGTATTTATATTTTTGCCACAGTGACAGTTCAACTGTTATTTCGTCTCTCTTCCTGTTCTTCTTTCGACGGCCTTTCAGTCTGTTTTCAAAAGCCTCCAGTTCAGCCTAAATCAAAACAGCATTATTTTAATTAAATTTAAAATTTTTAAATTTCATTTAAATAAAGAAACTTACAAAATTTTAGTAGCACAAGTACAATTATTCTAATCTGACTTATGAAAATGTAGTCCACTTCTGATTGTATTAAATAAATCCAAAAGCGGAAAGTATAACAAGAAAGAATTTCAGCCCATAGGTCTGATCTGATTCTAAATTTAGAAACATCTCATTAAATCAAGTTTCCCTAAAATGTAGGCCATGGTCTTCATCTTCATTAATTTACTGGGGGTTTACTATATGAAGCTTTCACCAAGTGCTAAACGATGCCCAGTCAAAATAAAATACCTATAGCTCTACCATTATTGGTGGAACTAAATATTAGTGGCTTATTAGGAAGAAATTCAGGGGAATACAAAGGAAAGACTTACCAGATCTTGAGTCTTCTCTTAAAAACTAATACTTTAAAACATTATCAGAATTCTACAGGGGAGCTGTAAGTGCTAAAGCCAAGTGTTGGTGAAGAAAACAGATAGTGCTTTAAACAAGCAGCCTCCTAAAAGTCAGGGCCAGCCAGCTACTGCTCTGATTTTGTGGCAAAGCACACTTACCTGTGTGATTCAAGGATTATAAAAAATAAAATCCAAAATCAGAGGAGGGAAATGTATCAGAGCTTAAATTCTGAACACCCTATTTGTAGAAGGCTATCATGACAGTGAAAGCCCAAAATCCATTTGCAGAGTCCCCACAGGGAATTAAGCATTGACCATTGACCAGGAATGTGAACAGCCTAGTCCCCAGAGTGCATCAGAAAGTGGGTTATTATACTTAAGTTTTAGTATCTTATCATTTGTTTTCCGTTTGGATGCACTTTTAATTTATTCTAGTTTTATTAATTTCTGCTCTTTAAAAGTTTTCCTGTATTTTGCTATTGTTTTTTTTTGTGGGGGGGTGGTATGATTTTCTTTATATCAAATCTAGGATAGGTAAATCTACAGAGACAGTAACTAGATTTCATCTTTCTTAGGGTTATGGCAGGAGAGATTAGGAAGAATAAGGGAACTAATAATGTGTAGAAGCAGTGAGTAAAGTATCCTAAAATTGATTGTGGTGGTGAATGCACACTCACTGCAAGATATTCAAACGATTAAACTGTATGGTCTATCAACTATTGCAATTTTTTTAATCTTCAGGGGAAAAACATGCTTTATATTTTAAATCAAAATGAGTATTTTAAAAAGTAGAATTAAAAACATCTCCTGAAATATAGCTGAATGTTCTTCATTATAAAACATGGATTTTTATCCTGCTTAAAAAACAAGCCAAACTCATTGCAAACCCTATTGGACTGTTCCATAGCGTTTCCAAGGCTGCAAATCTCTATGCAAGCAGAGCACCGCATCTTTCTCCAGCAAAACCACTGTGCGTTTGAACATGTGACCTTCAGTTAGCAACTCAACACTTTACCCATCATACTGCCAGGACTCCCTTTCCACTGCTTAGAACTTAGTACACGGTTTTTGGTTAGGAAAACATAATAGTAAAACTTACAGTAAGTATTAACCAAAAACTATGTGTGCTATACACATAGTCCTCTGTAAATGCTTATTTAATAGAAGGAAATGTAAACTGTAGTTAACATACCCATTATCGTGTTATGGCAGATACTATTTTCAAAGATACAAAATGGCCATTTTTCCATAAGTCAAAATGTCAACATATTATCAAGTGGTTTTTGATACACAGAAAAAAGGTCAAAATATCTTAAAAGCAACCAAACTTGAGAATCACTGAAATAGTAAAATAATTGAGTCTAAATGTGATCCAGTCACCAAGTGGATTTTTAATGTTTTATAACATCTGTTAAGGTTAGTAAATATGAAATATATTTATATTTTTCATTTATAATAATTTATAGAAGGGGAAGACAGCCTAAACTAATCCTAATAATTTTATCTCCCAGGACTCCATAGAATCAACGTTTTAATATTAGTTCTGCCAACTTATTTTTGGATACCAGTCAAGTCAATTTTACAGAACCATAAAATACAAAAAGTCATCTTGACAGTGTGAACTCTTCCTAATGTCCTCCCTTCCAAGTAATATAGCCTTTTCAGTTTCTTCACCAACACAATGGGCAGTTTAGCATATAATACACCATGCTGAATAAAGACAAAGCATCTCAAACTGAAAAATATATATTACTACTGGGAAGTTAAGCCACTCCTTGGAGTATATGATCAACACAGTATCTGAATAAATACAGAGAATCAGGGATGTATTCTTATCCAGGTAATTACTAAGAATAAGTGCAACTCTGATTAAAGAATAAGGGAGTAAAGACTAGTAACCAAAAGGCTGACAGTTCACGCACACCTACAGAGTAGAAAGCCTTAAGATACTCTGCTTTCACAGCCATGAAAACTCTATGGGATTTAGTTCTACTCTGTAACGCGGGGCTGTCTTGAGCTGACCTGAAGGATCTGACTCGACCTGAGTTCACTGGCTAGTATAAAGCACTTACCCTTTGCAGATAATCTGCAACTCAGTAAAACAGAACTCAAGTCCTTTCACATGAGTGAAGACATGCCTGTCCAAGCCAAAAGATGCCTTGAATCGAAGGCTCTCCCCTTTCTCTTCCCACTCACCCCCACAAAAAAAGAAATTCTTATGGCTAGAGCATGAACAAGCTTAGCCAGAAAGTAAATTGAGAAACACAAAATATCTGAGACTATCTGTCATCTCCTGCCTCTTCAAAGTTGCAGTAGATCTAGCAGAAGTAAATACCTGGCTTTCATATATATGTAAATAACCAAACTCACAGCTACTGAGCCAATTCTGACTCACAGCAACCCTACAGGACAGGTGAGAACTACCCCTGTGGTTTTCCGAGATTGTAACTCTTTACAGGAGTAGAAAACCCCTTCTCTCTTGAAGCATCTAGTGGTTTCAAACTGCTAACCTTGAGGTTAACAGCCCAATGTGTAATCACTATGCCACCAATGAGCCAAGGCTGGCAATACATGTATTTTTGCGGTTCAAATTAGGGTTGACCAGCCTCTCATTTGTACTAGAATTGTACTTTGCTTGCACAAAAGCCAACAAAGATGCTAAGAGATGCAAATCCAAATATGCTGTTTAGCTACCTGCTGTCTTCGCTTTTCTTCTTCAAGAGCAGCTTTGGTTTCTGCTTCCTTTATCTGTTTAGATACATTTAAGAGTAAATTAACCTTGTAATCATCAAATTTTACACAGATTTTTTATTTCCTCACCCCGGCTCCCCTAACCATAACACCTTTGGGAAACATGAGAAAGTTATCCTGGGAAATGTTACCATGGCATCATCATTTTGCAGCAGAATATATGTAACCTATCAGGGTAGCCTTATGATATGTTAAGTGTGAGATCCCAATTCAGAGACTTAAAACACAGTAAAATAAAGTTCTTCTCAAGACTAGACTTATTTTTCCTGAGCTGTAATACTAAGAATCTATATATATTACTGAGAAGAACTGTTTTTACAGAGTAGAGACTGATCGTTTTCCTTTAATGTCCTTACAGGGATAGTTCCCCCCAAAATGGAGAATTTATCCACTGACTGGGTTGATGGAAGGAAACAGTGGGCCTAAAGATAATCTGAACAGTATAGAAGTGCCCAAACTGACTTTTGTATTATGTTAACCTAATTTTCCAGCAGACAGCTTTCATTGCAAAAGCCGAAAGATGACATTTCAAGCTATCTTTTCAGTTAAGTGCATAAACAAACATTAATTCCCATGTAACGGAACTGCCATGAACACACGAAGAGTAATGTTTAACAAGCCATTACCTCAGAGGCTTTCCGCTTCATTTCCTTGCATGTTGCATCACATTCTATTGAAATCTGATTTTCACGTACTTTATTACACTGCAAGTCCTAAAAATAATCCAAATTTTAAAATCATCATCAAATAAATAAACACTCCTTCAACGTCCTTATACCCGCTGTCGTCAAGTCAATTCTGACTCATACCAACCTTACATAGGTCTTGAGAGACTGAAATCTTTATGGAAGCCAATTTATACCTCCATCTTTCTCCCTCAGAGCAGCTGGTGGGTTTGAACTACCAGCCTTGTGAATCCACAGCCCACTGCTTATTCCACAGTGCCACAAAGGCTCCTTAATTGTATGCAAACGTTCCCGATACTATGCTGCTGCTGTTACGTACTGTCAACACTGCCTGGTCTGTGCCATCCTCCTCACAATTGTTCCTATGTCTGGGCCCTTTGTTGCAGCTCCTGTGTCCATAAAGTTCTTCCTCTTTTTTTAATGGCCCTCAACGCTACAAGCACCATGTCCTTTTCCAGCAGCTGGGCCCTCCTGACAACATGCCCAAAGCATATGCAACAATTATATAATATGTTGTTATATAACATGTCTGTTAATGATAAAATTCATTAGGAAGGAATCTTGCGGGCATAGTGGTGGTTATGTGGTTAACCATAGGTCAGCAGTTCATGCCGATTAGCCACTCTGAGGGAGAAAGATGAAGCCATCTCCTTCCATAAAGATTTACAGCCTCATCATAAGTCAGAACTGACTTGATGGCAGTTGGTTGGTTTGGGGTTTCATTAATATTTAATGATGATATGACTGTAAATATTAAATGCCTATGTTTAAATAGTGATTAGTTCTTTATTTTCTTTTACTTGCAAAACAACAATTTCTTTGCAGATAGTCTTCAGTCCATTTAGGTAGTTTGTGAAAAGTGCCAAATAGAACACTTGTAAGCGTGACTGTTACTGACATGAACTACATCTCAATAAATCAGTTTTTAAAAAGCTGGAATTAATTTAAGAATTACATACTATGTGCCACTACCCACCTGGTTCCAAGCTACTTTTATTGTTTATTTATTTTCCTAAAGCATCCATGGAATAAAGTGCTAGAAAACAGTGCTGTCCAATAAAACTTTCAACAGTGCTGTCCAACAGAACTTTCAAGGTTACCTCTATCTATACCACGCAGTATAGGAATACTGATCACATGTGGTTACTAAGCACTGGCAATGTTCATAGTGTGACTGAAGGGCTGAGGTTTAAAAAATATGGAATTCTAATTTGTTCCAATTTCAATTTAAATAGTCATATGTACCTGTTTACCATCTCAGTACAGCTCTAGAGTTTTCTGGAGAACTATAAATTTTTCTCTCAACTATTAAACTTGGGGTGGGGGGAGGGTAGCAATGAAAATCATTGTGAAGCTTTGTTTGTACTTCCTCTTTTAATCAAGTAAGTGCAAATAAATCTGATCTTTCTTGATTACTTGATATCAATACGATGATTACATCTGTACAATATGCCATAATAAAATAATGACTTAGTGAGTTTGACAAAACAATGGTCTTTAAAGTCTAATGGTTTTTCGGGGGTCTTCTTGATTTACTTTTTATTGTTAATTGAACTGTTTCTCAAAATATATATATTGATGTATTGTTAAGCCCTAACTCCCATACTTATGGCTGTGATCCCATTCGGGGACAGGGCTCACTAGATTAATGAGGATGTGCTAGTGTTGGAGGTACTGTCAATCAATCATTTTCGAGGCAGAGGAACAGATTCAGCACAGGTGAGAGCGGGGGCGAGGAGGATGATCTCCATGGAACCAAGGAGCAAAGCTGGAGAGAGACAACCTCCCCACATCCAAGATAGAGAGACAACCTTCTCACACCCTGAACTCACGACTTCCACTCTCTTAAACTGTAAGAGAATCAATTTGTTTGATTTTTCTGACACCAGCACTAAGACACTGAGACATCTACCTTTTAATCATTCTCTACTTGTGTCGGGATGTCACATTTGCTCTGCGTGTTCCTATTTATATCGGGGTCTTTTTCTCACATCTCTACCACGCTCAGACTAGTGGAATGTAAACAAACCCACCACTTCAGAAATGGGATCCTCAAATCCCTCAAGTGAAGTGCACATACTTTAAGTCAGTGGTTCTCAACCTTCCTAATGCCGCAACCCTTTACTACAGTTCCTCATGTTGTGGTGACCCCGAACCATCAAATTATTTTCGTTGCTACTTCCTAACTGTCATTTTGCTACTGTTATGAATCCGGCGACCCCTGTGAAAGGGTCGTTTGAACCCCAAAGGAGTCACGACCCACAGGTTGAGAACCGCTGCTTTAAGTGAAAGCACTTGATGGTATTGCATTTAATTAATTAGAATGGCTTTCCCACCAGAGTTCTTAATTTGTAACTAAAAATGGGAAAAACATAATCCTGTCCTCCAAAAACAGGCGGGGACCATGTGGTGAGGTGGACCATGGGGCAAGAACATTAGAGGCAAAAAAAACTCCTAAGTATTGTGTATTTGCTGACATTATAACTGCCAGCCCGAATATTTTCTCTCAGCCAGAAAGTACTTAAAAGAGTATCTCAGAATATGGATGCAGCACCTCACAATACTCTTCTATTATCAAAATTAATTGTGAGTCTAAAAAGTGTGTTGTAAGGCTGTGTAAATGAAGTCTTTTGAAGATAACATTTTCAAAATATACTACTGATGGCAAAAGTTTCACATTAGCAACAACAAAGGTCAATCCCATGCCCCATAATTTCTTAATCTACTTTATCACTCATATTGGGTTTTATATAAGAACACAGTGCGTAATGGGTTGGTCTACTAACTGCAAGGTCAGCAGTTCAAATCCACCAGCGCTGCACTGGATGGAGAAAGATGCGGCTTTCTGCTCCCATGGAGAACTGCAGCCTTGGAAACACCCCGGGGCAGTCCTGCTCTGTCCTGTAGGGTCACAATGAGTTGGAATTGACTCGAAGGCTGTGAATGAATTTGGTTTTGAAGTTTTTTATTGGGTTCTACTTTAAAGAACTCAAATCCATACAATACTGATTTCTATACCAAAAAGGATAATAAATGAACTTAATCCTAACATGAAGCAATCGTTCTTTTACTACTACACAAAACTAAATTGCCAAAGCTGGTTTTTAAAATAAAAAAAGCAACAGATAAGCTAATTTTAAGAGTGATAAAAAGTTTGTAAGAAATAAGACTATAAAAATCAAAAGGTAAAAAATATTGTCAAGAACTACCAAAACTTAAAAACAAAAAAAAACTCATACTGAAAAGTATTTTCAATAACATGACATCTACCTTTTTGATTCTCTTACACGGACATCTCAGTTTTACCTTCTGGTTACAATTAAAGGGGCAGTCACCAGGATGGCACATCTCTTTGCATCTATGACCACAAGGAAGCTAAAATAAAACAAACGAAAGCATTTACAAATCTCCATATTGGCCACACTCTCCTCCTTCCCTCAACTATTTCATGTCAGAGTTCATACAGCAGGGTCAATTAATGCAACAAATGTGTCGACTTTAAAAAAAAATTTAAGACAAATTATTTTAATTACACAAAAATATTAAATATTCTTCCTTGTTCTAATCAGATTAAAAATGATACATTCTCAAGCACAAATTATTTGGAATTTAAATTTAGATTCATTAACAAGGGAAAATTCAAGGTTTCAACAACTTAAAAAACTAAATGTGAAATATAGTATTCTTCTGCAATAATTTATTGCTACAAATAGTTTCCCAAGTTTGATTTTCAACAGTTATTAAACAGAAATTCATAAAATAGTCAAAACTATAGTTAAAATGAAAGTTAAAAAAAAGTAGCATCATGCCTTGATTTTTATTTAACTAAAAGCCACTGTATTTAAGATTTCAATGTCACCTCTTCCTACCTCCTTCTAAATAGGTTTTAGTCATCTAGTGCTTCTATAGAAAAAAAAAAAAGCATTTTCTCACAGATTAGAAGACTGAGGCTGAATTCAGAGGGCCAGCTCAGGAGCAAGCTTTGCTCTGTGTTGGCTCTGGAGGAAGGTCTCCTTGAGTGTGTGCTCCAAGGCAGTCTTCCTGTGACTGCGCAGCTGCCTCTTACCGCATTCTTAGGCCACTACTGGCCTCATTCTGGTTCGGTCACCTACTGAGAAAGTGCACGCCCACCTTGGATATACTGAATCATTTAAAGATGATTTAAAGGATTTTAAAAGCCTTATTCACAATAAGCGTCTTTGGTATGAAGGGGCTTCAAAAAAGTTTGTGTCAAAATTCCATTAACTTTTCTTTCCATTTTTTTAATGAACTGTATGAAACCTTATCATTTACATAAGAATTATCTGTGAAGATATCTAAGAATCATTTGGGGGGGTTGGTTAAAATAGATACTAACTCAGTATATCTGGGGTGGAAATGCATATTCTCACAAAGTGTCAAACTAGAATCAACCAGTTTGATACCCTGGTTTGATGTCCTTTCTATCTCAAAGGACTCAAGACACAACCCACATTAATCCCGTCTCATTAACATACGGAAGACAATTCAATCAAACCCACTGCCAGGGAGTCCATTCCGACTGACAGCGACCCCAGAGGCTGACTAGAACTGCGCCTGAGCTTCTGAGACTAAGTCCTCCAGGAGCAGTACGCCTCATCTTCCTCCTGAAGGGTGGCTGGTGGATTTAAACTGAGTAGCCACTACACCACCAGGGCTCCCTAACGAAGAGCCCCTTCCCAAATGGGATTAAAACCAAAGGAATAGAAGTTTACAACACACATTTTGGGGGACATTTCATTCAATCCATGGCAGTGCCTAGGGGCAAACTTGAAAACAGTACTACTGTACATCTGTAATTCAGAAAATGGTCCCTTTATGGATACTCACCCAAATCAAATGAATTCTTACTGTCCCCACTGCCAAGAACAGCAACAAAAAAGGAGTGACCTCACTTCTAGACTGGCCAAACATAGACCACTTTAGTTTCTTAAAGTATTGATATGATAAATCCCTAGGAAGTTTTGACTTTTCAGTGTGAATAATTTCTTTTTTCATTACCTTTGGGCACATTTTACATTTAAAATATTTTAAAAATTATTATCCAACTATTTTATACATGAACGACGTAGGTCTGGCAGTAACAAAGGCTAAGGTAGGAGGTGAGAGCCACACTGGCTGTGATGGCCAAGGTTATGTGTCAGCGGAGCCAGACCGTGATTCTCAGTGCTCTTGGCAACTAGATAATGACCTCGTCATTCTCAATACCATGACCTGATGGGGTCATTCTCCATTTTTACCGTTTTCCTCATTAACAAACTAATAATGTTCATAAGTGAGGGGTGGGTGTACAAACAGCAGCATCTATAAATATACAACTTGAATTCTTATGCTAATTAACAATAAATTTAAAGGTTCATGATCTGGATGGTACGAGCACCAAAAGCTTAATAATAATCCTCTATCATCTTTAAGACCACATGGATGTCTCCCATGCACCCTACATCTTAAATGTGTGCATGTACGTGTGCATACACACACACATAGGACCTTTTTTTAACCTACTATAATTCACTAACTGCTTGTTTATATTTTACTGCTTATATTTTAAAGCTGTATCATATTTGAGGACCAAATAAGTATCTTTAAAACTATTTTTCTTTGGCTTCTAAAAGGTGGTTCCTAGTTCTAATACCCCAATTTCAGAAAGAGACATGCATCTACCTCATGAGTGCATTACATTTTTACAGACATCAATCACATTTCCTTTCTCAACTCAATTTCCTTTCAACTTTCTTGGTGTGAAAACAAGCAAACCAAACTCAGGTGGCCAAAGAAGTAAGGAGAAAATCCGTAACGAGGGAAGCAATGGCCACAGAAGGCAGTATCAAAGGGTCCTTTGCAGCTCACCTCTTTAGGGCACTGGTTTTTGCAACAACTTAGGAGGTTCTTCTCATTTACATCAGCTGTGGTTATTTTTCTAGAAACAGAAGTAGTTTTGATGACGGTCACACCAAAGTTCACTTTATGGCACACACTTTCTCAAAATATCACACAATTTCAAATTAGCCATAAATTTATTTTACTTAGTTTTATCCTAATGAAATATTTGCGTCTCTTATCTGTAAGTTATCTTCAAAGTATTTAAACATTGCATTACCTCACACCGTCCTTACCTTTATCTTCTACCAATAAATCGAAATAAGAATATGAAACACACAAAACATCACCTGTGGCCTGAGTTACCATTAATATTTTCTGCTACAAGCTTTCCTTATAGTTCAATCATTTTATTTCAGAACCTCTTTAAACCAAGATAATACAAGTTAAATACAAGATAAATAAAAGTTTTTCATTGCCAAGAGAGCACTATGTAATTTTTTTTTCCTGCAAAGGGGAAGTAGGCCAAATAAGTTGGGAACCTATATTCCAGAATATAAGGAGCAAACTGAAAAACATTGAAAGTATGCTGAAAAGGATCCTGAACTATGAAGAGATACTAATTGAACTCCTTTCAGTAAAACCAGAGTATCTTCAGACCACTTACCTACATTCCACATAAAGGACTGTGATCTTGCAGTGACATTTCACTCGGAGCATCTGCACACAAGGAGGGCATTCTCCAGGGTGACAGGGCAGAACACATGGGTGAGGACAGCCCAGTGGTCGTGCTTTAGAGCACCCTTCTTCACAACGAAAGCATTCCAGGCCAGCCTGATAAATTGCAAGGAAATAAATCAGCTGATTATGAAGGCTATATTTCCGTATATTAAAGTTATAAAATCAGAGTCACTATGCCTGTGACCCTCTAGTCTCTGAAACGTCGTGAGTATCGCAGTCCATGCTCTCATTCACTTAAAAACATCGCAATGAGTATCAAAATACTGGATACAAGTTTGCAGAAATGTTATAGACATAGGTTTTCTCTATTAACCTCATTAATCTAATGGCCTCATCTTTAAAATCTCATACATAAAATGTCCCTAATGAAAATGTGAACTACTTCCTAAAGAATAGTCGGTGGCAGAAAAATAAAGAGCAAGATGCTATTATCAGTCCAGGTACATGCAGGAAAGAAAATCTTCATACTAAAGAAACAAGCACACTGTTAGTATATGAATGAAAGTCACCAACACATTAACCTAGTAGAAATAGCTTCCGTCTTCTTGAAGAGAAACACAAGAGAAAGGAAGCATGACTAGCAAGTCAATTTCTTTAATAGCCCTCAATCTAACTAAAATTAAGTTACATTTAAGATTTAATGTACGCAATGTAATTAGTTGAAGCATCTGTCTGCTCCAGTGATTTCATACCCTAATCAGTATCAGAATTGACTAACGGAGGTTAGAGTTTAACTGCAGGATATTAAATATTCTCATGTCATGGATGAGATAATATAAGCCAAAGGGCTGCAGACATGAAAACTAAGTCTTAATGGTCAGATATTTTTTCCTAGCTGTTACAAATTTAATTGTGCCCCAAAAAACATGTGCAGTAAATCCTAACCTCTATACCTGTGGGTATAACCATTTGGAAATGGGTTTTGTTACTTAGTGAGGCAGTATTAGGGTAGTGTGACTTAATTTCTTTTGAGATATACAAAAGAAATTAAACCAGTGATCAGGCAGAGATGAGGGAAGAGAAATGCCAAATCACATATAATACCCACCCAAAAGCAGTAGTTAAAGTGGCAAGAACCTTCCTCAAGAGGCAGCACCTTGGATTTGGGCGTCTAGCCCCCTGGGGCGCCCTGGTGTTTTAGTGGGTTACAAGGTGGGCTGCTAATGCAAGGTCAGCAATTAGAACCCAGCAACTGCTCTGTGGGACAAAGATGAGGCTTTCTACTCCCATAAAGACTTATAATCTCAGAAACCCAAAGGGTAAGTTTTACTCTGTTCTCTGTGGTCACTATGAGTTGGATTCAACTCAATGCAGTGAGTTTGAGTCTCCTAAAATTTGAGAATAAATTTGTCAACTCAACCCATATGTAATAATTTTAGTAATAGCCGCACTAAATAACTAAGACACTCTCAGTCCTAAATACAGCTGTTACAATCATTATATTAATAAAATGTGGTGCTGTCATTTAAAATTTACAAGTGTTTTCAATTATGAAGACACTCTTCTATAACTTTAAATTTTATTTTTAAAGGTACATCAGCTTATTCCACAAATACTTAATTTAACATTTTTGTACCAGGTAAGTTCTGGTGATGGAATGGTTAAGTACTTGGCTACTAAGTGCAAAGTTGATGGTAGACCCTGTGGGATGAAAGATGTGGCAGTCGACTCCCATAAAGTGTTACAGACTTCGGAACCCTATGGGGGCAATTCTACCCTGTGGTGTAAGGTTGCTAAGAATTGGAGTTGACTCAAGGCAATGGATTTGGTTTGGGAAATACCAGACATTGTTTAAGCATTGAGTATACACAAGACAAGACAGATCTCTGGCCTCATGGAACTTAGCATTTAGGTGGGGGAGGTAAAGGATGAAACACGATGTCTCTGTATATGCTATGAAGAAAGATCCGCAGGATCAGAGAGAATGGTAGCAAAATGACAAAGCCTGTTAGGTAAAATCCTTACCTGAACAGAAGTTGAATTAAGCAAGGGAGAAAGTCCTAAATATGTAGAGTTCCACAGAGAATGTTATTAAGAGCAAGGCCCAGAAGTGAGAACGAATGTGGAATATTCAAAAATCGCAAAAAACAAGAGCAAGGAAGAGGGTGATGAGTAGAGAAGAGATGGGGAAGGCACCCAGGAGCTTAGTGAAGTTATAGAGCTCTTTGTAGAACCTTACAGAGCAGTGTAGTAAGGTCTTTGATTGTATCCCAAGGATGATCAAAAGCTCTGCAAGGGGTTCAAGGACAGTGATGACGTCTGTCTCTTATTTTTTTAAAAGGTCCATCTGGTTTAGAGATTAAATGGATACAAGGATGGTTAGGAAAATATTGCAGAAGCCTAAGAAGTTATGATGGCTTGGATGAAGATGTATGTCAATGGTAGAAGCTAGGAGCAAAGATTGGATTCAAGATCGACTTTGAAAATTAAATTTCATAGGAACTATTGTAGGGCGAGGGGAAAGAACATCAGAATGAAAGAATAAAACGAAGCTCAATGTTTTTTAACTTAGCACACACACTTGTTAATATCATGATCCCCTGTAGAATGGATATTTAGGGGAAACTATTTTAATGTTTTATATTAAATAAAATTTGATTAACCATATTTTTTTTCCCTTTTAAATCTTTAGATTTTTTTTGGCCTAGAAGCCTTTAATGTAGCTGGTCCACCACAAGCTCCACAAAAAAGCAGGTCAACATGGCTACAGAGCACGTCGGCTAGCTCTACAACATGTGCAGCTCAGTCCCTGCGCAGGGTAGTTTTCAGTGTACATGCCTCATTGGGCAGCAGAGATGAAGATGTTCCGCACCAGACCAGCACCCTGTCCAGGGACAATGGGCATGCTCCACATTCTGCACGTTCTTAAATCCAACCTGGTTGTCAAGCAGTGACTGAAGCATGGCGCTGCTGAGCACCTCGCCTTGAAGGACTCTGGGAAGACCCCAGTAGGTCAAAGCTGTATATGCTCCCTTCCCTTTCTTGTCCAGCCCTCCCATAACGTTGTCGACACAGTAAGGGCAAGAGGTGCCAGAAGTATAGAGAATGGTGGTGAGCACAGTGGCCATGGGCCAGGTCGTCAAGGCTGTGTTATTGCAATACTTGAACATCTTCAGTTTTTCTTCAATGAGCTAATCGCCATGGAAACTACTGTACCCAATGACTGACTGTGTTGTCTGTTGGTTTGTGTGGCAGTTACATAATCTCCTGTCAGCTTGAGCGAAGGGGTAGAGTCCAGCCTGTCAATTGGGTCAAAGCTTGATGATCTCATTTTGGAGGCAGAAAGGAGATAAATAGCTCACTGGAGGTCAGACCCACCCTCTCTCCCTCCCCTTTTCTAATGTTGAGACACTCATCGAGAGGTGGAGGAGACACATGGGAGACCCTTGCCAGCACTGAGATGCTTCCACCACTACTGAACCACATGACTTTCCACCCACAGGCCTGTGATCTTCCTGCATTTGCCATCATTACATGTGCTAATATGAGTCTAAAGAGGAATTTGTGGTCTAGTATTGGACATATGGGCTAATATCAGACATATGGACTTGATCTGGACTGGGCTGAGATGTTTACTCAATATAAAATTGCTCTTTTATATAAAGCTTTCTTGTACACATGAGTGTTATGAATTTGTTACTCTAGTCAACCTGGTATAACAGTTTATAACACTTGGGTGTGAGCTGAGAACCCTTCACTCACCCGAATGTCAGAAGCAGCAACTGAAAAGTCTTCGTCAATACAGTGCCTCTGCTGAAGGCGTAGGGCAAAGCCTGCTCCGAGGGCCCAAGAGCACAGAAAGGCTCCACCTGCAGGTCTTGGCCAGGCACCCAGGAGCGTAGCTGCAAAGGACTTCATCGCGAGGCCATAATCTTTAGATTCTTGGCTGGCTTTTAGAACACCTTTAATGAACCTCAGACACTATACGTATCTGTGACTTTATCTTCGGTATTTTCCAACGAAAGATTGGGAATTTAAAAATGTGAACACCCTCTCCTCCTTAACAGTCAGGTTTGAAGATAGCTGAGCGAATGGTCTAGACAAGATATCTGAATGGAGAGACGTGGGGTGGTACTGCAAACTACTGTCTAAGGAAGGCAGCCAAAAAGAGGAGGCCCTGGCAAGATGGATTGACGCAGCTGTTACTACAACAGGCTCAAGCACAGGAAGGGTTGTGAGGGTGGGGCAGGACCGGGTGTTTTTGTTTGCTGTCCATAGGATCGCTATGAGTCAGAGCTGCATCATGGCACCTCGCTCACAACAGCAACATTTAAGAAGATACGTAATTTCTGAATCTTTATCATAAAATAAAATCCTGTGTGTTAACACAGTTGCAGTGTATGACAAGTTCCACATAAGGAAGCGTTTTCTTATAAGTAATCAGAAAGATATGGCAAAATATACAAGCTGCTAAAACCAGGCTGTCTTAAAGTAAGGAAGAAAAATAGGCTTAAGTACAAAAGAAGCAATAGCAAAATGGGAAAATATGTATGGTGAAATTGGTTGGGGGCGGGGGGCAGTTTCAAATAGTGTACAAATAAGAGGAGACTAAAGCCCTTACCTTGTTTTTGCCTGTCTGGCCATCTATTTCAGTTACTTTATGGCACTCCTTCATACACGTGTGATTCTGACAAGCTAAAGTTCGTCCACAAACTCTCTTACAAGAGTAAGGTCCGACAGCATGGCATGGTAGTGGATTGATCTGAAATAAAACAGGGAAGTCAGCATAAAACACACACACCTGTTTTTAAAATGACTCTATCATTTCAGAATAAGCTACACAAGGGTCTAACAAGCTTTCACAAATACAAAATAAAGTCGATTATAACAGTGAACTAAAATCTACAAACCCAAAGTTATAATCAACAATAACAAAGGTGGTTTTGGCTCTCAGTACAGCCCATTACAATAAGAACCAAAATACAAGCCCTTGGATGTAGGGCTGCTTTAATACAAGCTAGTGAGTGGCCTTGGAGAAGGCAAATGTTTTCTTCCTAAATTGCTATGCGATAATACAAATAAAGTGCTTGCCTACTTCGTAGCTAAAAATCAATGAAAACTGTCAGTGGTGACAGTGTTACTATGTACTTAATGCCTTTTGTTGCTATCTCACACAAAAGTAGAATTTTTATCTTTAAATAAACAAAAAGTCAAAAACTTTTCCAAAAAAATGCATGCAGAGGCAAAACATTTCTTGAGAAATTCAAAATAATCCTGTAGTGAATTTGTATAAACCCACTGACACCAAGTCAATACCGCCTTATAGCTGTTAAGGGTTTCCAAGGATGGTAGTCTTTACAGTAGCAGAGAGCCTCCTCTCTCTTGTTCTCCCCCTTCCTCTCCCCAACCTGACCTCCCAGCAGCTGGCCGAACTGCTGACCTTGCAGTTAGCAGCTTAATGCTTACCTGACACCACCCCCACCCCCACAGGTCCTTAGTGAATGTATATCTGCAAGCTAATGTTCAAGTAAAAGCAGAGCGTACTCGTGGTCTTTTAAGGAGCCCCACTGGTGACTTAATAGTTGTGCATTGGGCTGTTAACCATAAAGTAAGCAGTTCAAAACCACCAGCCAACTCCACACAAGAAAGATGAGGCTTTTCTACTCGTGTAAAATTGCAGCGGTAGTCCTACGCGTCACTATGAGTTAGAACTGACTCAATGGCATATAGAAAAGGCATGAAATAAACACAATTTTTATCTAATAATTATTCATTGATTTACCTCATGTTTCCCAAGACATTCCCTGCAAAAAAATAAATAAATAAATGAAAATACGATACAAATTCTTCAAAGATGATTTTTTTTAAGAAGAAAAAACCAACTATATTTTATTAATAAAACTCAAATACTCCCTCAATGCAAGAATACTTTGTTCTAAAAACCTGGCATTTTGTGATGCTCACCTTCCCAAAACACTCGCTGAAGTAAAAATGGGTGCATAAGCAAATGTGGTGAAGAAGGCTGATGGTGCCCAGGTATTAAAAGATATAGCAGCTGGGTTCTTAAAGGCTTTAAGTTAAACAAGGAATAAAGCCCACTGGACAAAGCACACTAGCCTGTATGATCACGAGGTGTTAACAGGATCAGTTTATCAGATATCAAAAGACCCAAACAAATACACCAATGCAAATGATGGGGATTGGAGTGGAACCCCAAAGCCCAACTGTAAACAACTGGACATTTCCTCACAGAAGCGTCACAAGTCATAACACCAATGGAACACACATCCTTGTGTTTCTTTAATGCTTCCTCCATCGCACAACCATCACCCCCATTCTACTTTACAAATCCGGCTAGAGCAAAGCATGTACACTGGTACAGATTAAGAGCTCTCAACACACAGAATCCAGGACAGATAAACCCCTCAGGAACAGTGAATGAGTAGTGATACCATGAGGGTAGGGGGAAGGTGAGAGGAGAAGGGGGAGAAAAGGAGGAACCGATCACAATGATCGACATATAAGCCCCCCACCCAAAGAGAGATGAACAACAAAAACATGGGCAAAGAGAGAGAGTGGAGAGTGTAAGAGATGAAAATAATAATAATTTATCTGGGGTCCACGAGGGTGAATGGTGGAGGGAGGGGAAAAAAGAAGGTGATACCAAGGGCTCAAGCAGAAAGAAAATGTCTTGAAAATAATGATGGTGGCAACATAAGTACAAATGTGTTTGATACAACTGATGTATGGATTGTTACAAGAGCTGTAAGAGCCACCAATAAAATGCTTTTTTTTTTAAAGAATAAAAAAAATAAACACCTATGTAGCACACTTTAATAAAACCATGTCACTTAAAAATAATATATGGAAACTCTCTGCCACTGGATTATTTTAATTTTTCTTGCCTAACTGACCAAGCGAGCAACTTCACAGAAAACAGAGTTGGACTACAGTGCTATGGATGTAATGTATTCTGCAAGATAACCCAAGGAAACGTGTGAGAGCTGGAACCTGACGGGACTGCATTGCTTTCTGGGTCTCAAAAGCTTTGCCACCTTTGACAGGGTGTATGCGAACTGAGAGGTAGTGGAATTTTTCAGGAAATGTCTAGTCTCCTTATATTTAAATTTCCCTTCCCTGGCTTTCAAACAAGGAAAGACAGGTATCCCTTCCATACACACAAATAAAAACTTTCAGT